CAGTGAATTTAGCTCAACAAGAAATGGTGCCACCGTCCTTTTTAAATAGCGCGCGAAGTAGAATGTCAGGTTTTCTCATATGTAAGTGGTCTTTTGTTGCAGCGGAACCACAAAATCATTGAGACGAACATTGATTTAGCTTTCTCCATCTGCACACGTACCGATTGTTGCTTCGTAACTTACCAATCTCCCCGTCTTGGGGAAAATGTTGTCTGATTCGGGTAAATTTTGGTCGAGCGCGCCCTGTCATGTTTTTCTGGAAGCAAAAAGAATTGTGAGCAGATGTAACCTGGATCGTGAATAAGTTGTGACATGCCGGTATTCTTGCCGTCATGTTCTACTGGCATACATGAGAAGACGAACTCTTACACGTAAACTCGATGAATTGCGAAATATAAACTGTATAGTTCATCATATTCTTGGACATCGCAGTTGATAAAAGATAGATAACACTCACACCTTCCATAATAACGATAATTTCACTACCCAGACTAAGCAGACAGTATGTACACATTCGATGAAGCACATTTTTATCTAAGAAATATCAATAGGTAGGTAGGACTGCAGTTTCTCTAACTCTTGTCCTGGTGTAGTATTCTTTACAACTGAAAATTTGGGTCGGAATACTACAAATTGTGGAGACGTGACGGGAACCCTTCACCACAAGTTTTTTGTAGTAGTATTTTTAACTTAACTATGTGTCCAACTTGTAAAATGGTTTTTCTGCATCAAACATTGATGTTTCCGTACCAGTAGTAATGGTGCATCAATAAATTTATGCCCAATTTTTATTCTCGTCTTTTTCGTAGTTTCATGAGTAAACATACCACTAATCATAACGGGTAACTGATTGTGAGAATTAAAAACTACTGTGTCTGCTTTATAAGTACCTGTCTCGTTACGAAAACTTATAGTACTGCATCAGTTTCGACGCTTCGCTAGGATCTTGCGTTGTATTCATACATTTCTTCACTGTGACATTATATTCCGACAGATACTTGTGGTGTCAATATTCGCTAACCAGATGGTCTCCGAAGCCAAGCATTTAATGACTGAAAAGATGTGTTTGACATGTAATACTTGGAGGAGGTCGGCAGTGGTGGACGTGGAGTTATTCCATCGGATGACATGGCTCGGCCTTGCAGACGTGCTCATTATGTATAGCTTATTACTATTCACATTAATATATTGTTTTATCCCCAGCATAAATGTGTTCTTCAGAAGTACTAGGTACCGCTGTTACTTGTTACGATACGATGAGTCAGTGTAGATAGTGATGCGACTTCCACATAAGATCTTACAGATTAGGTAATCACATGACAAATTTAACGTTTTCGGATTAGGTCTATCGTCAAATTAGTTTTATTACCTCGTTAGACTATAATTCTACATGCTTACAAGCTTTATAGTGCAAAAACTGTACAGTTGTTATATTTATATTTAGATAATTCATTAGATGAATAAACGTGACAGTGGTCACTATAAAACACAGTTATCGTCAACTTGTAAATAGTGTCTCCGCATAATCTTCCATATTCAGAAATTCACTAAGTTGTTCACCTGCATAGATTTGATTATTAGAAAGGTTTGAGCCTCTCAATCAGCTGGCAGAATCAATGGATTGCATATCAGAAAATGTATGAGGACCTTCTCAGCTTCATACAATTCTGAAAAACAACGAATCAATCCTGAAACAAACTTAAACTTTGTTATCAGTATCAAATTCAATAAGTAAATGAAATAGCAGCTGACATGATGTACCTATGTGTGTCTTACTTACTGTAAACTGTACTCGTCATTTTCTAACCCTCTTAGAATTTCATCTAATTATTTGGTGTTAACTACAAACTGCAGGCATCAAATAAACGGATTAAAAACCTTTTGTTAGTAATATGTCATCTGAGATAATTCCATTCACAACGTTCATAATGCTATTAGTAATCCACTGGTAACACACAACAATGTAATAACTGGTAAACACAACTTAGATATTACTTGTCAACATGCAGTAAAACTTCGTTCATGTTTTGACCAGTGATTTCGGATTCTGGTAACAGAAACTTATTTGTTAGCCCTATCGCAGACACATCATAAACTAATATTAACTACGACATGCTTCAGTTACCATGATTAAAGCAAACACGCGTTGCTTTACTTGTGAGGAATATCTGGCTAATTTATGTGGCACTCACAGCAATGTTATATACAATTCTCGTAAATGTTCAGAGAGCGGACAGAAAAGGCTATTAACGTCAATTGTTACTCATATATTTTTTTTATTTCTCATATACCTTACACAACAATACGTCAGTTCAGTCTGAAACGATGATACTTAAGATAGACAGAACTGTTTACAGCTATATATAAGTAGGTTATATGACATTCGTAACTAGTGTTTCATGTTGCCCTTAAATATATCACAGCGATACAATACGATTTCATATTGCATACTCCGAGTTTGAGTGTGTGGTTATGTCTTGTGAAAGTTACAGACTTATTGGGATTGGTACTGCTTTATTATATTATTCCCAATTCACTCTCGGTTTTACTCTTATCGCTTGGGGAGTCATCATTGTTCGGGACGATATGGATGGTGAAGAAATGTGAAATAGCGGTTTCTAGAATGAGACGGCGATAAACACGCACATCTTTTTACCATTAAAGGTGCAGACCATGCTTCGGATGAAAATTTCGGGATCAGTAGTCTTCCATCTCAGATAGACTTTTATTATGCCAACCATAATCTTTGTGGAGAGTTTGTATGAGTCTCTCGTTTATAACCTTTGTGTGAACATATTCTGGCTGCTGGTGAGATAGATTATCTAAATGTTTTTGGTTATACTGTCATTCATGTACGTGACATTGTGATATTCGAACACATTTTTGGTTGAGCTTCGCGTATAAACATGTCTGTTATCTAATTTGTAATTGGCCTTTGATAATTTGTACACTTTTCACATATATGGGTTGTTTCACGCAGTGCTCACTAATTGTCACTAGATACATGTTGTGTCAGTGAAATGTCAGTGTTATGAACAACTGACGCAAATTAATAAAAAAAGCATGTCATGAACAGGGGCATGAGGCAGTCTATACGCCTTTTACTACAGTCAACTGTTAATGCTGATGAGATGTGTGCTACCTGTTCTGGCTTATAAGTAGCATATAGTATCAGTCAGAAGCGGAACGCCTGTCAGAAGAAGATTGAAATGAAGAGGGCAGAAAGGAAATCGGAGAGTAATCGAAATAACAGTGGAATTAAATGAAAGATGGGATATGTAAAGGACGACACAAAGATGTGAAAATGATGTATTTAATGTATGATTTCCATATTTCCATTATTTACTATACCACTGTGTAATTTTCGGCCGAACAATAATTTGTCTTTCTCCTCCTGATTTCTCGTTTACTACACTAGTATATGCTATTGTGTATTGGGAGTATTTATTCTAGCTAGTCATCTTGTTAGGAACATACCGTATTGAGAGTTAGGTATTACCAATAAGTGAGACTTCGAAGAAAGCTAGAAGGTCCCTCAACTCGAGGAGGCACGAAATTGTCAACAGCCGACAACTACGTTGGTAACCCACATTAGTAAAGAAGTTGATTTGCTCAACCTACAATTATTATAAATTTGTTTTTACATTACCAACTGATTTTATCCATTTGTTTAATAATTACTGTTGGTTGAGAGTGTCATGTTTAAGCGACAATTAGTATTTAGAATTAGTTAAATAGCTCAGTCCATAAACATAACACTCTTTTAGATGTGTAGACAATCTTCTGAAAGTGTCTTTGAAATCTTTCATTTCTAACCTCTGGTTTCATTGGGTTTAGTATCCCAGATAGATGATGTGGCTTTTTACTGGAAACAATGATGTGAAGCCGCAAATATCCGTGATATCTTTAAGTGTCTGGAAAGTGCGTGTTTTTGACAGGACTCGTATTTAACTTATTTTCTTCAACGTCGTGTTGACTCAAGTAATCGACAGACCGTGTCCAATGTTAGATATAGGATATGTATTTCACTGGTATCATGTAACTATATTCGTCAAATAGTTGGATTCAAAGCCAGACATAAATATTCTGAGTTCATATTATAGACACTAAAGTGGAAGGCTCGACTCCACTGGAAGTTCAACATTTTATTTTGGTGGTTGTGATTATCTGATATAAATAGTATCGATGTACTTATTAACTGCTCGTTTCCTATATATCTGAAGGTTATATTGGTTTAGTAAGCGGGCAAAGGACAAGAATACTCGAACAAATCACTCAAAGTCGACCAAAGTAAAAGGTTTCATTTATGTAATACAGGGGTCAGGGCTAGAAAAACTGAGGAGGTGGAAACTAAGCAATTCATCTGGTCATGGCAACGTACATACGAGTTTTTCAAAACAGTGTGTAGATGAATCATGTGGACTAGTTTGTTACTTGATTAGAGATCCATGAACTACTAAAGAGGTAAAAATGACTTATCTTCACTCCAATTTTCGTGAGGTATAGGACTGAGCTTGCCAGACACAGAACGATAATAATTCTTTAGGGTGTTCAAATATCCAATAATTGCCCACCTGTAAGGGTCCGTTACTAGAGATCAAATATTCAGACATGCTAAAGACAGTTTTAAGAAAGATATGTCATGTGTTCCGATTATCATGTTGGTATGATTGTATGGAAAGAACACCGATAACATAAGGTTACCATTTCATGCTCTGTCTTGGGTTTTTAATCCTGCCGCGTGCTTTCCTACTCATGATTATGTAAAAAACGAGTTTCATTTGCGTCCTTATTCGTGGACGTATTTCCACGACAACGAACCAAACGTCTTGGAGACATGACGACAGTCGCCTGACTTACTTTTTCCCTTATTTTTCTCTCATAGCTGTTCCTTCAACAAGATGTTTTAATCTCCGCGGAATATAGTAAACTTTCAGGATATGAGGAAACTGTTTTTTCGAAATATACAAAATTATTGGATATTGAATATTATCTGATAGAAAAAACATTACCTTACATTCAATTGGAGGCGCAACTTTGCATCTGCAAGTTAGTATGTAGCGTTTGCCTAATTTTCTAAGTGCGGAAGACTTGTGTAATCATTTTTATAAATGCATCAGTATTCTTTCTGATCCCAACTTACACATGTTTGCTCAAATTGCTTCGCCTGCCTCGTCGACCTAGGATGAAATACTAGAATTTCAATATATTCATTACCCAGAAATTCCCCACCAACATTAAAAAGAGCCGGAAGTAAGTAAACTGGAACAAATGATTTGTAACGTTTTTAGAGTTGGTGTTTATTGCCAACTTCCCCCTCATTTGGTAGTTCCGTCGTCATCGGCCAGTGAGGGCAGGACAGTCTACTCGATGTCGCCGGAACAACAGGACAGTTGAACTGCCCTTCGAAGAACTCTGCCCATTGTCCAAGACGTCGATAGATGTTAGTGATTGGCATACCAGCTAGATAACTATGAGTTCACCTGTACTCTTTGTTGGCATCCAACAAGGAAGTCTTTTATCCACATCAATAGATTGCCTCCAATCCCAACATTTTTTAGCTTATATAACAGCTGGTTGTGCGGAACTTTGTCAAAAAGTTTGCTGAAATCGATGTAGGTTACGTCTACAGGCAACGTTTGGTCATTAAGAGCACACCAGCTTTCACGAGCAACTAATAAGTTAGTGAGACAAGAATAACCTATTCTAAAACTATACCGCTTCTCCGAAAGGATCCGGTTTTCATCGAGGTACTTAAACAGCTCCTTCTGAATAATCTTTCTAAGATTTTAACAACCACACTAGTTAGGCTAACGGGTCGGTAATTCTCAGGTTTATGTGTCGTACCTGTTTCGAAGACAGGTCTCACTATAGCATTTCTCCAGTCTTTCGGTAAACGACCCTGGGTTACGGATAGATTAAAGCATATACTTAAAGGGTTCGCAAGAAAGTCAGATAATTTCTTTAGTAGCCTAGGATGCAAGGTACGACACATAAACCTGAGAATTACCGACCCGTTAGCCTAACTAGTGTGGTTGTTAAAATCTTAGAAAGATTATTCAGAAGGAGCTGTTTAAGTACCTCGATGAAAACCGGATCCTTTCGGAGAAGCGGTATAGTTTTAGAATAGGTTATTCTTGTCTCACTAACTTATTAGTTGCTCGTGAAAGCTGGTGTGCTCTTAATGACCAAACGTTGCCTGTAGACGTAACCTACATCGATTTCAGCAAACTTTTTGACAAAGTTCCGCACAACCAGCTGTTATATAAGCTAAAAAATGTTGGGATTGGAGGCAATCTATTGATGTGGATAAAAGACTTCCTTGTTGGATGCCAACAAAGAGTACAGGTGAACTCATAGTTATCTAGCTGGTATGCCAATCACTAACATCTATCGACGTCTTGGACAATGGGCAGAGTTCTCCGAAGGGCAGTTCATCAATGTATAGATACTTACAGGATAAATAACACTGAGCTACGTGATGTCCAGACACACAATGACTTAGGAGTCATCGTTAGCCAAGACTTAAAGAATACTGCACACTGCCGTTCAATAGTCGCTATAGGTTTTAGGACTTTATGGCTAATACGTAGGGCTTTTAGTTTTGTCGACGCTTAAATGTTTGCATGTTTGTGCGTCCGAATCTTGAGTACTACATACAAGCGACTGGCCCTTGCTTAAAAAAAAAACAGTGAGCTTTTGGAAAAGGTTCAGAGAAGAGTAACTAAGCTGATTCCCGGAATAGCGAAGCTCCCGTATCATGCTTGACTGGCCAAACTAAACTCATTCCCGTATTCATATCGAAGAACTAGAGGCGACTTGATTTCAATTTATCAAATTGCTTAGTTAGTCAGCTACAACGTAGGAGCAGGCACACTTATGCATCAGTCCAAGTTCCCATACCTCATTAGCACAACAAGGTGAACACTGAATTCATAGTAGTTTAGTGGTGGTAATATACTAAAGAAATGTTGTATATAAGGATATATTACAGGAAGAAAGACAGATATAAAGCAACTTTAATCCCAAGGTTTAAGGGAAGACAGAAAGTGTATACACCTACGCCATTGTAACCGATTCTAAGCCATGTTACACAGATTCTGCAACCATTGGTTACGATAGTCACGAGGACCCCAATCAAGTAGTCTGCATCTACCAACATGGCTCAGACTAGAAGTTAGTGACTTCAAGCTCTGAAGCCACGTTTTGGTTTGGCCGCTTTTTACTTTCTTCCAACCATCCCCAATACTAGTCAGCATTGCGCGTCGTGGTAATCGGTGTTCAGGCATACGTAACACGTGGCCCAACCATCTCAGTCGATGAAGGTGCATGACCTCATCAACTGATTTAGCATCATTCCCTAATACCATGGGTTAACCTCACTATTACTTACCCGGTGATCCCAGCAGATGCGAGCAATATTTCTAGGGCGTCTGTGGTCAAATACTTGTAACTTACGAGTATCTTTTACTCTTAATCGCCATGTTTCGCAGCCGTAAAGTAAAACATAGCGAACTGCTGTGCAGTATACTTGTCCCTTAATTGATAGACGGATATCTCGTCTTCGCCATAGGTGACGTAAGTTGGCAAAAGCCAACCGAGTTTTATGAATCCGTGCAGAAATTGCTTAGTGATAGATTCGCACCTGATATGACCCCATTTTTCTTGTCTTCCGAAGCAGAAAATTTACGAGGACACTCCAAAAAAATTTCACAAGCCCAGAACAAATTATTTGTCAGCTGACTATCGACTTTCCCATCGAATCATCAACGAGTGGAATTCATCACCTCAGCACGTGGTTGAGACTTCATTCGTAGACTCTTTCATAAGAAAGTTGGATCAACTGAGACCACAATTACCAGGACTAACACAGGCCATCAAGTCTCCTGTCCTTTCCAAACTGAAACTGAATCTTATGCTTAGTTCTTTTTATTATTTATTACTTTTGGTGATTCTGATGCGCTGGTATATTGTTTTTATTCTCACTCTAGTCATTTCTATATAAGCAGTTGATTACCCGTACCAACTATCAAAGTTCGGCGTAAAAACAAAAATTATACCGTTATTACTAAGTCGAACAATGTGTTTGTTATAGTTTCAATTCCTTTGCCTTGTACTTTGCATTTTAGGTGATATTTTTGTCAACTGAGCGGTTAACTTTACCGTTAATGTCATTTTTTACTGGATTGTAAACTGAAACCGATGTTTCTTTTGTAAATCTCTATCCAGTGTGACGGAAAGCCTTCGTTTCAACAGTTCTATCACCTTGTACATATTAAGACATCTGGCCTTAGATATGGCATGGACGATGGTTTGTGAATTCGATAAAAGCAATATTTTAAACATATAGAATCGAATAAATTTGGCCGTAAATAATAACCATAGTCGTTATTTGATACACTGCAAAAATTATTTAAAAGAAGTTTTAAGTTCAGGAGTACTGGGTGCTGAGGCAGCCTCACTAGATATAATTGAAGTAAGCCAGCTTTTTATATAAAATGTTTTATTTTCGTTGTTGAATAAATGTGCTTTTCTTCACAGATGTGTCCTTTCTAACTACACGTCCTTCCTGTCTTGGATTTCAAAATACATGCAATGTATTAGCAGTCCGCTAGTCCCAACAGTCATTTTGGCTATCGGGTTTTGTGTTTAAACCATAACCTACTCATGAAAATTAAGACATTTTGGTAACATCGGTAATTTTCACTTACAAATCGTCACGCGATGTTTTGCACAGTTGATGTCTAATCCTTAGGATCCTCAATATCCATCACTACTGTTGTCGAAATTTCATGTCTACTGACTGAGATACTGTATATTTTGCGGCCACTTTCCTACCAGATCACTCATGGTTTATACCCTCTCAATTTAGTCTATTAACACCGATCACTAGTACTGTTTCATCTACCAACCACCCGTACTGAAGCTTAATAAGTAGCTGAAAGAAGCAAGATCATTAATTACGGATGAACTAAATGGTTTTAATATAGCAGATCGTGAATTTTGGCGCGAAATTCGTCCATCTATGAGGCTAAGTAGCATTTTGGCGTTATAACTGATGTCAGCACATGATGAAAATCTTAATCCTCTTTTCCAACTAACATGCAGTTGTGAATTTAAATCTTAGTTCTTCACACCAATTTTTAAGTAGGTGGACATTTTCAAGGTCACTTTGTCATCGCTCAGGGGTCGTCCATAAATTATAGTCCCACCAAAATAGATAAAGCCACCTGAATTGTGATATAAATTTTATGGTAGAATGATGATGGATATCTGACTATTATCAGTTCAAATAACAACTATTTGCTTTATAATTCCATCACTAACGATTTAGACTTGAGAGTTTTAGTTCTAATGCAATATTTTATGGTGTAGGAGTAGGTTGGAAGAAATCTGAGGGCGGTCAGACCAAAACGTGGCACAAATCCATGAAGTCACTGACAATTGGATTGAGCCATGTTGGTAGGTGTAGATTACCTAGTTGGGACTCGCGAGATGATAGCAACCGATGGTTAGAGACCTTGAGTGACATGGCTCAAAATCGTTTGCAATGGCGAAGATGCATTCACTCTTTGTGTTCTACCAAATTCTAATCTGAATTCCTTGTGTCTCTATCTTTTTTTATCTTTCCAAATTCATTTCACTGTATGCTTATACTTTTACTACTTCTACCACTATGGGATTTGAATCGACAACTTCATCTCTGTGCTAATGTGGTATGGCAACTCGGACTGATGTACTTAAGTACGAAGTTATCCGTTGTGACTGACTGACTGTTTTAGTTCTAAACAACACCAATTGCTTACTTTGTAATAATGACTTTCGGTTTCACTACTTAATTGACTTCAAAGGGAAAAAACCAGAATGAGCACGTGGTCTTCTAATGAGTCATAGGTAGATAACAGATAGTCCTACAATTGTATGAGTTTCTACTTGAACTGGTCCTTGTATCAGTAAGCATAATGAATGTAAGATATTAGTATAGAGTGAATATTGGAAATGACCAAGTGTGGGAAATATCACGCCATCAGTATATTGATAGGAAGTTGAGGATAAAATTGTGTTTACATTCGTTTATTTCTGCACTCAAGAAGTAATGATCTCACATATAACATTACAATTTGAGTCTTCGGGGAGATCCAGCCTATAGGAAAACATGTATATAAGATTCAAATTCTATATTTATCAATAACCATAATATTAATTTTGGAAGAATGAAGTGTGGTAAATTTTGGTTTCCTTGGCTGAGAAGTGACCTACATTCGTTTACGTTCTAAATGATATTTAATCACGTTTACTTTTGTGCTCAGATTTTGCATACATGTATAGTATTTATTTAGGAAACTAAATCTGTATTTCTGTCCAATCGCATTGTCTTTTGATGAATATTCAAACAAATCTTATTCACAATCACATGACAACGTTCGTTTTTATTTCTCCTAACTGTGTCACTTATGTATTCTTTATTTTCATTTTGCGTATTTTGTTTATCAACTTATACAACAGCTCGTCTATGGTGTGAACCCTGTTCTATCTGAACGATCTCAAGTCACTGACTGGTCGAAAGTTGGATGCTACCACCGACTATGAATACTGAAACAGTCTTCCTGAAACCGTGTATGCCATTCAAACTGGCCTCCTGTAACGTTCGCATAGTAATTCAGACTAGACAACAGGTAGGGTTGACTATTTCTTTAGAAAGTCTGAATATCGACGTCTGTTGTCTATCCGAGACCCGTATTCAAGACTTTCGGGAAGTACTACAAATTTGCTCTCCATCTGTCGCTTCGAAAAGCTTGTTTCATGTGGGTTTATCCGAGGTATCTGTGGCATCTTCGTCTGGTTTTGCTGGCGTTGGTGTCTCAATTAGCGCTAGAGATGTGGCAGCACTAGTCGACTGAATCCCCATTATTAGTCTGTTATGTGCTGTTGAATTAGAAAGTCCCATCAAAGTAAGAAGAAATCGGTGTGAGAAACGATATCTTTATGTCATCTTCGCCTACGCTCTGATGGATTGCAGCCCGGATGCGACCAAGGGTGTTTTGCCACGAATTAACTGTTCTTCTGCAGGAAGTGCGTCCGGCAGATATTTTAGTACTAGTCGAAGATTTGAATGTTCAGGTCGGGCGTCTAGGCACAGAAAAGGGTCGTTTAGGCGACCGATGGGAACTTGTTGGTCGCAGCTCAGATAACGGTGACCGTCTACTGCAACTATGCGTAGACTACAACCTATTTCTGGCTAGCACCAATTACTGATACAGTCATCGCCGATATGCTACCTGGTGTCCTCCCTCTGCATCTGAAGCCTGGACTCATATTGGTCACATCGCGATCAACTATCACTGTCGTGGTTGTGTGCCAGACTGCCGCTCCTTTTGGATTACCTATTTGGGCTGTAATCACGCCCTTGTTTGCGCTAATCTTACCTTACGTTTTAGAGGCTAACAAATCCATCGTCCTAAATGGATTGATGTTACCAAATTGGTTGCAGCTTCTGTTACAACTAAATATCAAACTCAGCAAGGTTCGAGGGTAAATATTAGCTCATTGAAAAGTATAGATGATCACTGGGTGCAATTGCATGATGCCATAGAAATGGCGAGTAAAGTCACTTGTGGCTTCACGGAATGTCCAACTTATAAACACTATGTTTCTACAGGCTCGTTACAACTCATTAAAGCCCGTCGTTCTGCTCTGGGTGACCGTGAGTTTGACCACAAACGAAGACTGTTACGTACTGAACTTAAGCAAAGCTCACTTAAGGACCGAGAAGTTTGGTAGTCGAAGCGTGCCAATGAGTTGGAAGTAGCAGCCAAATCTGGTAACTGCCGGAAGCTCATTCAACGTATCCTAGTCACTGATAGCAAGAAGTTTGACGTCAGTGAAACAATCCATGAAGATTACGGGTTGCCAATCACTAACATCTACCGACGCCCTGAACGATGGATAGAGATTTTCGAGGAGCGGTTCAACTGGTCTGCTGCCCCTGCGACATCGATCAGACTGTCCTGGCCTCCATGGCCGGTCTGGGCTACCTTTAACGCCTTCGGGATGTTAGTCTGGCTGTAAAAGGTCGGATCTACAACGCGTCGGTGAGAGCAGTTTTTCTCTATGCTTATGAAACCCGGCCTCTCCGAGTTGAGAATGTTAGACGACTCTGTGTTCGATCATCGTTGTCTCCAAAGGATTTCTGACATCCATTGGCAACACCATATTAGTAATGCAGAGGTTTGGTATCGTGTGTTCGGGCGCAGAGACGATACTTCAATTGGTGTCACCATCTTGAAACACCGACTTCGGTGGCTTGGATATGTTCTACTAATGTCGTCTCAGAGGATCCCACATCGTGCATTATTTGCCGACGCTGGGACTGGTTAGAGAAAGCGGAAAGGTGGTCAGTATATGACATGGTGTCGTGGTATGAAAGAACGCTGTAAATGGCTGACTGCTATTGGTCCTTCACGACTCCTTGGCTGGGGTCCGAGAGATGGTGCAACACGGTGTCTAGATACGTTATTAGATATGGCTCAAAATGAAGCCAGTGGCGATTCTGCTGTAACTTTCTTTTACTTTCTCCATAAAAATGAACGTAACTTTGATTTAAAGAATTCTTTCTGGTTATATTTTTGCTAACTGAACTGTTTCTCCCATTATTATTATTATTATTATTATTATTATTATTGTTGTTGTTGTTCCGCTCTCATATACTACTTTCTGCTCGTTGTCGTTCTTTTGCCATACATACACTATCTCTTCACAACCTCATTTCTATTGTATGGTGCATATGTGTTTGGTACACTCTTGTAGCAATGTTTATGCGTTCAAATAAATAAATCCACCATTTGACATCCTGTTCATCATTATAACATAAAATGTTTATGACAAACAGAATACCTGACTTAAAGGTTTTATTTATTAGGTTTTTCTTAGAAATTAAATAATGTGCACACTATACAGTCACGTTATTTGTAAATTGGGGAAATATTCAAGAAATGCTGTTTCAGAAATCTGTTCTTTCTATTTTCTATAAATTTTAGCTTATACCTGGAGACAAGTATGCCAAAATTGATGTCAATTGTAAACTACCAGTATATCATAGCTCCAATAAACCTTCAGTAAGACAAACACCAACCGCATTGGCATTTTATATTCAGCAGTATATGAATAGTGGGAGTAGTGAATTGAGGTAGTATGCTAATTCTTATACTGAAAAATGCACTTTGCTACTTTTCCATAGATCACTTTTGCATAAGGGTTATCCAAAAATGAAGATTCCTGTTTTTCAGTTTTTTATAACTACACAGACCTGTATAGTGAGTGTTCCTATTGTACGTGTTTTTAGTTTTATGCCACGGACTTTTGTCTTTATGTATGTGTTTCAGCTCTAAAAGGTTATGTATTGATCTGATACATTGTTCAGTCTCATAATCTGAAGATGTGTATCAACACAGAAATTGAACAGAATAAAATGATGTAGTCCTTTGATATTCTTTCTGTGTAAGTAATGGAGGATATAAGCCGGTTGGAAAGATTAGTTGATGTGAAGCTGTAAACTTGGGTTCCGTGCTACTTCCCATTGCTGATAAAGATGCATCTTCAGGATGTCCACTTATCATTAAGCTTCGCCGTTGCATTGCAATTGAATCGATAGGATTAAGTTAGAGCTAGGGAGCAAACAATCTGACATTGAGCGAAGATGGATAGTGGCTAGAAGTAGAATCCATGACATGCGTTTCGTTCTATTTGGGGCTCGTCAGTTGGGTGTACGTGCATCTCAGAGTTTACTCGAACGTAGTATTGTCCGCTTCAAACGCCATCACGTTATCAACTTAGCTACTGAGTCCTGATAGCCGCTAGCTTGTGCAATGGGTGAAGTTTCAATTCATTTTTTATTGTTTGTTCGAGTCTTCTCATTGATGGGAAGGTTCAAACAAATAATGCGAAAATGAGTTAAATCTAACGTTGGTTACGACTTAGTAATTAAAAATTGCAATTAATAGAAAGCTGTTTAAATATTGTCATGAAACCTCAGATCATTTTTATGTATAATTTTTAACTATGGTTACAAAAGTAATTTCCATTTTGAATTAGAACATCTGTGATTCGCGTTACATTTTCTTTAAAAATAAAGTCTTGTTTTTAGCTATACTGATAAGATGTATTAACCGAGCTGTTCTGTCACAGAGTGATATGTACTAATGATTGTCAAGATCTTCTAAATATGTTGAAATTACCTAGCATCAATAACTAGTTTCATATTAAACGTTTTAGAAGTAACATTCACAGTTAGACGATTGTATACATCACTTACAGTGAATTTCTATTACATGTTCGTGATTCAGTGTTTTGAGCTCATCATCATTTCATATACCTTAGCTCCACCCCATATCTAAATGTTATCTATATATTTCCTAGAAATCGTGTAAATTTTCAGAGATTTATCTTCTCTCAGAAGGTTCAGTAATCGATTCAGGATGCACAGGTGATATTCTTATTTGGTGACCATCGAGTGAACAATCCTTTGGCTAGAGGTGGACTACTAGGCAAAGATAACAAATCGGATAGTATGATAAGGTACTTTTATCGACACAGGTATTTGGAACTTGTTACATATATCAAAATACCACCTACTTCAACACCAAATGTTGGCGGGTGTAAGAGTAAGTTGAAAGAAAACTAGTAGAAACAATTAGAGGAAGATGTGACATTAGTTCATTAAATCAATCAACCGTTCGATTGGCCTGTTGTGATAGATTTAAACTATCTGGTTTTTTGTGCAACTGCAGTAATAAATGGTTGGGACGTTGAGTTCTATGGTTTTATAATCGACTTCAGTGACACAGATGCATCCACTCCCTATCTTACTCTAGAATTCAGGCTTCACCATTCTTTCATACAGACCTTTTCATCCCGTTTTCTCGATCTATATTCTCCATATTGTTAATTTTACTTCATCTTGGTGATGTAGCATGACATTATGAATGATTATTTTGTGTATCTGATTCTAGATTAGTTTTGACGTTTTCAGTTCATGCGTATTTTGGTGTCGAATAGTGTAATAAAAGATGCAACAAGAATATATAACAAAATAAATAACTGAATAGTAAAACCATATCTTTCTAAAATGTCTTTCTGTTTATCAATATACGTAGTCTATTCAATAAATAGGTAATCTGAAGTTATAATATTTTACAATTTTATATATACATCGGTCTTTTCGCTTACAAAATACTCTTTGTGGTAGTAAATTTATTCCATCTCTGTTTACATCATTTTAAATATCCATAAAAGTCCTCAGAAGTAGTTAGGCTTCACACTGATCATGTTGTTTTACATTTTATCGTCTCCTCGTAACCATTTCACATTATGGAAATCAAATGAATTCACAGAAAGCTAAGTGTGGTAAGTTGGAAAAGTGATCTAACATGGTAATCAAAATATTGGATGAAGACTTGGACTATCACTGTTAAATATACAAGCGAACGGTCTCATATTTATTGGATAGACCATCTACTTACAGGGAAATCACAGTTTTCATCGATTACTTGCTAATTAATAACAAATCATAAAGGTTAGGTTAATTCTAAATGATGGTATTCAAGTACATTGTGAATGGTCACTTGCTTAGTCATTTCCATAACTAATAACTTAAGCAGCCCAGTTCACGTATTTAATAGACAGAGACTGCTTATGCTTCTCATGTGGTTAGCTACATATTAACCTTACGATTTACTGTTGTTAATTTATATTCCTCATTATCATTCAAAAATTTACGTTGATTCGCTTCCATACGTACATTATTGCATTAGGTAAATACTCCTTCAAATGATTCAGAACATTTGCAGTCATCCAATGATGTAATATGTACTGCTATTCCAACGTCTATCAAACCTAATAATGTTTATGGGTTGGAACGTGATAAACTTGTCAAAATAATTAGTACAAGATTGAAAGCAATAAGGAAGAAATCTCATCCTTTAGAGTCAATAAATTTAGTACGTTTTTGTCGTTTGTATTTGTATTGTTGTGTGTTGACTGTATAAAAGAATTGGTTAGATGACAAAATCTATCTGGTTTGCATAGATATCAAATAAGTAGAATTCTTATTGTCTTACAATTATTATGTGATCACTAGTGACTAGCTTCAAGAGGAAGATTCCGAAATTCTAGAGAGAGAGGTCGTGACCAGTGGAGTTCAACCGTGTTGAGTGTAAGAAAGTTATCCATTGCCAGACGTAGGATGAAGGTTGTGCAGTATCGTTAGTTGACTGAATTTAGACATTAACAACCTTGAATGCGAATTCAGTGGTCTTAAGGCTAGGCGTTCTCATGCGAAAGCGGTGGTCTTGGGTTCAAACACTGTGTGCGGGGTCGTGGGTTCGTACTCCTTAGGAGTCCTGTACCTGGACGGGATGGTCATTCAGTGCTTCTAGGTTCCCAATGATGGTCTAACATTAATGGGCTCATGATTTCAATGAATCTCATTGTCTTGTTGTACAGTTTGAATAAATTGAAATTCCTTAGAATTCGCTATACAGTTCGACTGTATCGTCATTCTTCACATACCTGTATGCCTGATAGCTTAATCTATAAACTGAAATTATATTTTGAAATCATGCTATTGGTTATTTATTAATTCAAGAACGAGAACAGTAACCCCGGTAGTGGGGAAGAATCAAAAATAGGAGTTTAAAAGAAAATGTCTCGTAGATATTGCTTAGCTATTTTATATGAATAATGTTAATATCCTCCTAGTATTCAATCTTCTGATCTTCTAGTGCATACAAATAATATTTTGCCCTTGTAGGAATTAACTAACAAACATACAGTCCTTTGACAATCTCCAAAGAAAGCCACAAAACACTTAGTGTTCATTTTGTAATTGAAAAGTACAGTGATACTTGGAGAATTAAATGCCGAAGAAGTAGATTCATCAGGTCTGGTATGCTAATTGTCATTGAGATCAAGTACATCTCGATAACTCAAATATTTTATGATCAATTTGTTAGTCAGTAACATGAAACGTAAAATCTTGTGCATCTATGCAATGGTTCAAGTCCCTGGACCATATCAGCACAGGTTGATGAAATTATCAAGATGAGTACCAATGTAGTTGAAGTAATAACTAGTATTGGTAATGGAAAAAAGATGTTAGACATGGAGAATACGTATCAAGAAAAAAAGGACCCAATTGTAACCCAATGGTTTAATATCTATGCTTTCGACCAATAAATCATAGTTTTAAGTCCTATTCCACAATATTTTTGGTTCAGATCTTAATAAATAGACATTTACTCTCTTGGTGGTGTACACTCCTGAATTGCAATACAACTTAATTTATTGTCTGCAACAGGTTTACTTTACATTTTGTGACTGATCTGGACTGCTTACTTGTGATAATACTTAGAATAAGTATTAGTTTTTGTAGCTTTATTGGATATTAGAAATAAATTGTTCCGAAGTTCAGGATTACATAGTTGTGGTTGTTTTACGCTTATTCAGTTAGTCTAGTGATAAGCAATGCAGATAGATTTTGGAATCTCAACGTCATTCCCACTATCAAGTAAAAAACGAACAATGAGACTTTTGAATACAAGTTGACCTCTCAGTCTTAATTTTTTGAGGAATATGCTCATTGATGGGAACGTTAACTTTCCTTTCTGTCCTCATAATCTGTGTTCGTCGGACGTACTCGTAAATCGTTATGCACAATTGGAAATAACGTGAAGTGAGCATTTGTCCACTTTTGATTGCTTCAACAAGCATTGAGTTAAATAAATGAATGTAGGTAGATCCTAGCATATATGTGCATTAGCTCAAGTTAGCATACCATATCAGTACTAAGAGATTATTTTTTAAAAAGGAATAGCAAAGAAATTGAAATAATGTAGAAGCAGGAATTATGGAATAGCTTGAAATTTGATAATATACCAAGAAAAAAACCCATTGAAAAAGTATATCTTCATTGTCATGTTAATATATGTTCCATCTGGTTCAAAGGTCACTGTTTTAAACCTTAAACTTGACCATAATGCGATTTGAATAAATTACTATCGTGAATTTTATCTCATTATAATCTAGATGACTCGAGTCAATCTATCTAATTACCTTAGTTTTTATCACTTGTACAGGTTCATATTAATATTTTTTTGTAGTCAACTTATTCACAAAAATGTCTTATTATTTTACTTCTTTCAGATATCTGATAATTATGAAGAGATAAATATCTCTCCTGAATCTATTAAACGAGATCACACTTCCATCACTGCATGGGCAAAATATTGGAAGGAGAGACAAGATTGGAGAGCTATAGCTAAACGCGATAGAAGACTTCGTCATCAAAGTACGGGACTAGAATTTTTAACACATAATCAAGAAAAGAGTAATGATGTGGAAAATTGAAACTTGACTAAATATTGTATAAATAATACTTATTAAGACGTATTTTTTCGAATTCTTATGTTTCCTCTAATATAAAAAGTACAATATTCTTTTTGTTTCAAACATGGTATTTGTGTTCTGTAGGATGTTACTAGTAGAGTACCTCTAACAGCATTCGAAATCATCTAGTTCATGATCATATTCCATCGACACCTAGCTTCTTACTTAATTAACCATCTCTCTCGTGTGCTGAACATTCAAAAACCTGTTTTCAAGATTCTTTTGTTTTATTCTCATCGTTTATTAATACTGACTAAACTTATATAACACTCATTTGTTTGTCCTATCCTACAGTCAGTTGTAATTATCTCAGTTTTGAATCTCATTAGACTATCTGTTCCGTCATGATTATAACTAGGTCTTCTGACAGTTGGTAGCATGAAACCTATGTTTAGGACTTATTGTCCCAATATACAAGAAAGGATTATAACCATCCTGTGATAACCATAGAGGGACTAGTTTGACTAATATAGCTTCTAAAATACTAGCCTCAATAATTATCAGGCGCCCAACTAAGACTCGTGAACTGCAAACACGAGAAAATCAGACTGGCTTCAGACCTGGTCGTGGCTGCATCAACCACATATTCACTATTCGCCAGGTTTTAAAACATAGGCATGCTTATCGGCGTCAGACTATGATAGTTTTTCTTGACATAAAAGCAGCATTTTACTCTGTTGATTAAGAGGATCTGTGGCAGTGTCTGTCATTGAAAGGTGTACCTCGGAAGTACATAAACCTTATGAAGGCTCCGTACTCGAACACTATCAGTTGAGGAAGAGCTTATGGCGAAGTCGTCTGGTTTTACAACCTCAATTAATGTCCGATAAGGCTGTCCACTATATCCATTTCTGTTTAACTTCATCATAGACTTACTGCTGTAAATAACACTGTCATCGACTGAATTTTCAGGAATTGATCTACCAGGTGGTCCAATTGTTGACTCAAAATACACAAATGACATAGTCCTGTTTGGTGAAGAGGCTGATAATATGCAGTATTTTGATAGCACTGAGTAACAATGCCAGGATATTTGGAATGCGTTTTTCCTCCTCTAAATGTAAATTGTTACTCCAAGACTGGCATACGTCTACACCTGAACTAAGGATAGGGAGTGAAGTAGTCGAACGCGTTGACAACTTCACTTATCTTGGAAGTCTGGTCAGATCTAATGGGTTAGTGTCTGGCTAAATCTCAGCACAGATTCAAAAATCCCGTTTGGATTTTGCCAACTTATGTCACCATTGTCGAAGACGAGGTATTCGTCTATAAATTAAGGGACGAGTATACTGCACAGCAGTTCGTTCTGTTCTACTTTACGGCTGCGAAACATGGCGATTAAGAGTAAAAGATACTCGTAATTTACAAGTATTCGACCACAGATGCCTTAGAAATATTGCTCGCATCTGCTGGGATCGCGGAGTAAGTAAGAGAGCTTAGACACAGGGTATTAGGGAATGATGCTAAATCAGTTGATGAGGTCATGCACCTTCATCGACTGAGATGGTTGGGCCACGTGTTGTGTATGCCTGAACACCGATTACTACGACGCGCAATGCTGACTAGTATTGGGGATGGTTAGAAGAGAGTCAGGGGTGGTCAAACGGAAACGTGACATCAGTGCCATGTTGGTAGATACAGACTAGTTGGTTGTGGTCCTCGTGACTATCGTAACCAGTGGTTGGAGACTTTACGTGACATGACTCAGAATCGATCACAATGGCGTCGGTTTATACACTCTCTATCTTCCCTTAAACTAAGGTAGTGTCTATCCACTCAAATCTCAACAGGCTAGTTTTAGACTTGATCACAAATAAGTGGATTAAATATCTACCTTTTGACGAGATTTGAAACCGAAATATCCTGACCGATGTGCGACTATATTTGTATTCATTGGTCTGATTATAGTCCCCTCCATGTTGTCTGCCTAGTTTTACGGTAGTTTGGTCCACTTTTTTCAAAATCGAAAGTTGTGCAGTTATATCATTGTCTGTCTAAATTTTCAACAATGTCATCCCGCTGATTAGTCATAGTTTACCAGTCCTATAATATCCTTACTCAATAAGAATCATATTTGATGGCTTTTAAACGGAGTATGTGTGGTTCAACCACACAAAATAAATTTTCCACTTCTGCCTGATAATCTATGGTCTGTATGGGAATCTAGTTAGTCGGAAAAACTACAAATTACCCACTTTGGGAAAATAAGGATTATTCTGAATTTTAGGATAAAATTTGCAAAATAGAGACGTTTCAGTGAGAAAAATCTGCACTATGTAATTAAATCTGTGTAATCGTGTATACGGTTGATTTTTGTGTGTAATTAACATGGATCATTGATGAACACGGTGGACCTGATGCAGATGTGTAGGGGCGAATCGGCAAGGCAGGATCAGTAAATCTGCAATTGAAGAACATCCTTATCTCTCACCAATGCCGACCTTACAGTGTCATACGTCCGAAGATATATATATCATGCTTTTTTAGAATCCAACTGATTTCTTTCGATGTTTCACTACGGTATAGGATGACTACAGTACACCTCCAATCTTATTGTATGTATTCTAGCTTACTTTTTCTTTCATTTCCAACCATCTTCTTTAAAACTCCTTTGGGTAGTTGTTATCCCTGAGTGTAGAAAAAGTCTTATTTAATTCAGATTGCTGGTCTTCCTTATCTGTAACAAGCTTAAGGCTTCTATTAATTAAATTTTTGACAACCGTGACTTCCGTACATAATGCATGAGCCGAACCGAAATTTAAGCATCTATCTGAATGTGTTGATTTCCTGAATACATTTATTTTCAACTTACTATTATCATGTCTTCGCTCAACCAAACAATCGAGAAACGCTAGTTTAGGATCAACGGACTCTATTTCCTTCGTTAGCTTAATTCCCTCCGAGATGTTGTTCACATTTTCAAAAAATTCTTCTAAACAATCCTGTTTAATAATAACAAAAATGTCATCTACATACCGTAGCCAGACTGAAGTCAATATGAGTGATGTTTAGCATTACAATTATGTACTTGATGATTCTCATTTTTACTTGCAATCCAGTGATTCGGAAGGAAATTTTAAACCTTCGATTTGCACTTTTATTTTAACTTCATATAGAAACATATCAACACCGAATATCATTCATTAATAACTCATTCTTACACATACATAAACACACACAATTCGTTCAGTCGTCTTTTAATTCACATCGTGAACTTTTCACTTGATTCTCATTTAACTGATTTATATTATCCTATTTACTAAAATCCAACATCCAAATATGATTAATTTAACGTAGTATAGATTTTGACACTATATATTTCTTTGATGATTTTGATTATTACCCTGAAGAAGTCCAGACAAGTTAGCTGGACGAAACATTGGAATGATTTATTTAAATTTCAATCGTTGAGATTATTTCAAATATAATTCTTACATACAGTGACTTCTCTAAAATCGGCGCCATATTGTTGTCAAGCTATTCATTCTAATCTTGACAAATATTCGTATAAACAAATCAAAACATCTTGAAATACCAAAGAACATGAAAAGCATTTGTTCACTCCTTTATTATTTAATATAAAAAAAACATTTGATTAAGGTAAAGATATCAAATAAGTATACAAGGTAACTGGGTGAGTTCTTTTTTTAAAAAAGAATATAAAAGATACTTGTTCCATAGTTTTTTTAAAAAAAAAACATAATATCAAACAAATATTATAAAGTTTTCTTACATCACATTGTTAAACATTGAACTTTAGTTATGTACACGTTCATCTTGTATTGTCTATAGGGTAAGTGAGACTATAATTTATGAACGATCTTTAGGCAACCTTGAAGTGAACTTTAGTGTGTCCATCCACTAACTAGGACTAAATGACGGTTACAAATCAATATGAGGAATTAGAATTGTGATTAATTGGTGATGTTTAGGTTTAGGAATCAGATTTAGAGTTTTCATCACGAATAGACATAAGCTAAAATTCTAAAAATTCTATTTGGCCAAATAGATGAATGAATTTTGCGCCAAAAATTCAAGACTTATTATCCTAAATCTGATTAGTTTGTTCATGAATTATAGTCTCACCTTCATATTTCTATCTTTTCTGTTTCTTAATTCAACAAAATTTATATACAATTTTCTGCTAATTTAATGTTGTTTCTGAATGGTAGAAAAAAAAGCGATAGGTGATTTGTTTCCCCTTTTTTTTAAATTATTCATTTACTTCTTCTTACGATATAAATTTGTCAATGGTTTCAATGCTACACGAGCTGCACGTTGTTGATATGATTGTCTTGATTCACGATTATATGTATCATATCCCTGTGTAAATGTATTTTGTAATTGTTGTTGTTGTTGTCCTCCTCCTGCTCCTCCGCCTCTTCCTCCTCCTCCTTCTATATATGAATTATTCAATTGAACTTGTGATGGAAAATCTAATGCAGTTAATAATTCTGGTGAATTATTGGATTCAATTGTTTGTTGTAATATTGAATTTTTATTACGTTTTATTAAATCTAAATCAGTTTTAGTTAATTGATATGGTGCAATATTTAATAAATTTTCTAATAAATGCATTGAATATGTATACCAACGACGTTCTTTATCACTTTCAAAATATGGTTCATTATATGGTGTTTTACGTATAAATTCATCACAATTTTCTACAAAACTACGTACTAAACTAGTTGCATATAATCTCCATGTTGTTTTTTCTTCATGTAAATTATTTAATTTAGTTATAATTTCAACTGGAATTTCATCATGTTGATTATTGTTATTCTATTAAAGAGATAATAAACAGAAGGGGTTTTTATGGAGATTAAATATTTTCATAGTTGAAAGCGTGAGTCAATTGAAACTAGAACACCATCGAAAACCTGGAAGCACTGGACGTCCGTTTCGTCCCATTGCGGAACTCCTCAGCGGTGCGCATCCACAACCTCACCTCGCGAGATTCCAACCCAGAACCCACCAGTCTCGCGCCAGAGCACTCAACCGATAGACCACTGAGCCAGCATCCGATGGTGTTTATGTCTAACTCCAACCAATCCGCGATAATAATAATAATAATCATATGCTCACTAGTGACTGACTTCGAGAGGTAAAACCAGGAGATCTAGTGAGAAGCAGTGACCAGTGGAGTTCAAACCACGTCTGTTGTGAGATAACAACTCACTGAAGACAACTGGTGAATGGTTGTTCCACTTCGTGGATTGGTTGGAGTTAGACATTAACACCGTTGGATGCCGGCTAAGTGGTCTATCGGTTAAGTGCTCTGACGCGAGACTGGTGGGTCCTGGGTTGGAATCTCGCGAGGTGGGATCGTGGATGCGCACTTCTGATGAGTCCCACAACGGGACGAAACGGCCATCCAGTGCTTCCAGGTTTTCCATGGTTGTCTAGCTTCAAATGATTAACGCTTTCAACTATAAGATAATAAACAGTTTAATTATTCATGATTTATATTATAATAGTAAATTGAATATGAACAAGTAAATTATGAATGATGAGTAAGAAACATGAATAGTAGCTAGCAGTGGAATACACTTTGACGCGTGGTTCGTCCTATTTGAGACTTGTCAGCTGGATGTACCTGGTTCTCAGAGTTGATGTTCACTCTGGGACTCGAACCCAGTACCTTTCGCTTCAGACGCCATCGCGTTGTATAATTTAGTGTATAATAACTAAGGCTCATTCTTAACTAACTGTCTAGTGAATAAGATTGGTTTAATTTTTTGATTATATATACAAAGGCAACTATTAGTATTTTAAGGCTACAATTCTCTTTTTTTTCAGGAAGGGGTTTTGTAGAGATTTTAGTAATTTAAGAGTTAAATTCATGAGTCAATTAAAATTAGACCACCATGGAAAATCTGGAAGCCTTGGATGGTCATTTCATTCTAATATGAGACTTTTCAGCGGTGCACATCTACGATCCTCTTTTTTTCAATATTCTCTATTAGTTGGCAACTGAGTGAAATTCATATTCTGAGTTATTGAAAAGGTGAGTTTTTATATGGCTGAATTTATTATCAACTATGTTAATGTTAAGTAGGTATGTTGTTTTTAGTACTTTCAAACATTTTTCTATTCATTTGATGCCCTGGTAAGGCCAGGAGTGGGGAGAGTCCGCTTTCCATCTCGAACTGCTCTCACATGGTCATGCGTATACAGCCTCTGACAGGAAAGTCCTACTTACTACCTTCTCGTGGCGGGGGTGATGTTTACGAAATTGAGAGAACGAAAAGCGAATATCCAGCGCTTTAACCGGGTTGGTGGAAACGGAAAGTTCACTTAGGGGAGTTGGAAAATCCTGATTTCAAACCAGTGATGCAAATGGGCTCTAGGATCCTGAGGGAACAAATGGCGTATGAATCAATCGTTGGTCACTGGCTATCATGGGAACGCATATCCTCACGATGCTGCACTGCCTTGTAGATCAGATCTTTAGGTCGAAGTCTCGACGAGTTGCTCCCTAAGAAAACCACCTGCTTTAGTTTGGGCACCTGGGTAGTATCACAGTACTCAGACAAAACAAATATGATCTGTGCGGCGCATATATATCTGGTACCTCCTTGTACCAATATTTATGTGCTTAAACAAATAATATATATAATATGATGTAACTAACTTGCAAATTATTCTGATTATTTTCAATGACTTGTTCATTTGTTAATCTAGCAATAATTAAATCTTGTTGTTTCTTTTCTTCTTCTAATAATTTTTGTTTTTTTAATAATTCTTCATGGATTTCTTCCCATTGTTTTTCTTTTTTTTCATAATTGGTAATTTCTTCATGAAGTTTTTTTATATCTATATCTAATTCTGACATCATTGTATCCCTTTTTAATAATAATTGACTATTATTTGTTAATGATTTATATTCTGTACTTAATATAGAATTAAATTGATCAGTACCCGTTTTTAATTTATCTAATTTACTTATACTACTTGTATGATTATGAGTACCATTATGATTATTATGATTGTTGTTATCTGTAGTTATATTAGGACTATGATAACTACCATTTAATTGTATTTCATCTAATTGTTCATTAAGAAAATTACATTCTTGTGTTTTTAAATCTAATGATTGTTTAGTACGATCTAATTGCCATGTAAGTGCATCCACTTCTGCTTCTAAACGTTCACATGCATTCATTAATATATTGACTTGTTCATCATGTGTTTGTGTATTATTTAATAAAAACATACTTTTCATCTGGTTTTTTTTGAAAAAAAAGAAGAAAAAAAGAAAAAAATGTCAAAGAGGAAATGGAATGAAATAAAATAAATATATACATTTATATAACAATAAAGTAAATGTATTATCATTTCGGTCAGTCATATATATATTATAGAAATTGACATATATGTATGTAGCTGTCGGTTCAACTTATTACATAACAACTGCCATGTGTTGATTTACCCATTTTTACCTTCCTTCAAAGTTATTATTTACACCAGCAAATGTTGAACCTTGAAGCTGATCTTGGTTGGTTGTAAGTAATACTGTAAGTTAATGGATAAACATCTTTGTCGATATAAACAGTAGCTCAGTGACTGGTAGAATCAGTCTTTTTAGTGATTAACAAGTAGGTTCAAACCAAACTTCATTTGCTATGTAAGAGAAGATGAATAGTGGCTAGCAGTGGAATCCAGGATGCGCTCTTCGTCCTATTTGGGACTCGTCAGCTAGATGTACCTGCATCTCAGCGTTGATGATCACTCTGAGACTCGAACCTAGTACCTTACGCTTCAAACGCCATCGCGTTATCCACTCGGCCACTGACGAGTCCCAAATAGGACGAAACTCGCGTTCTAGATTCCACTGCTAGCCACTATCCATTCTTAATTACAAGGCTTGTGAATTAAGGCTATATCAAGGCAATACGCACAGTATGCACATATTCTAATTAGAGACTGATCAGTTGCAGTCCTAACATCGATGGGAAGATTCAAATAAACAGTACTAAATGAATTCATTTACTATGGTTTAAACAGAGAAGCATTACCGCTTATCTTTAGATGAAAGGCTTTACTCAAAAAACCGAGTAAATAAAAATTGTTTTATGTAAATAAGTCAAATCAAAAACTATACATGAAAAAATAGTGATATGTCTGTGCAGATAACATTTCTATAGACTAAACATTGTACTCATCAATGACAAATAGATACCGACTGATTCAGTAGAAATGGTAGATATTATTTGACGACACAATCAATTGTTTGATATTATCAAAAAAATGATAGATTATTTCTTTTTACAATGACATAGTCCTCATAACATATATCATATTTATCTCATTACTGTTAGTAATTTTCAGTTGAAAGCCCTTCTGATATTAAAAGTGCTTGATTATACATTTATATTATTACCTTAAGAAGTATTTATAAGTGTAAATTAATAAAATACCGAAGGAAACAATCTTAGTCAGTCATGATCACTATAGAGCCTAACACAAATAAGTTTCCACTTTTCAAAATAACAAGATGAAGTGAAACTAAGAAGACGAATTGTGAAGAGATCGATGCAAAAGACTATACATTAAGAATGTGAAAGATTCCCATTGTGAAAATTAGAACAACATATGTAAGCGAACAATTGTTTTCAATTAGATCGTCATCAGGCTTAATTATTACGTAATAATTATTACGTAATAATTTTAATGTTTTGTGATTACTATTCCAGACTATTTACCCACGTTTGACCTCTTAATTCTTATGTTTAATTATTGATAAGACTTTTGTTATCGTAATTTACTATTCTTACTACTATCAGTACACCTGTCTTCCCACTATCAACTTGTACTTTTAACTATTATTATGCTTGGTAACGTATTTCTATTTCATTGTGATTATTATTGACTCAAATAGCCTTGATTGGTCTAACATTTTTATATAAATATTCATGTATATTAGAGTAAAGCCTGATGACGATCTAATTGAAAACAATTGTTCGCTTACATATGTTGTTCTAATTAAGAATATGGTTTAAAAATACAGAAATAAAAAGCATATTTGAAGAAATATAGAAGATCAATACTTAGAAACAAAAAACCATTGAATAGTTCTTAGCTCATGTAACCAATTCTAAGTCATATTAAAATGAACAAAACACGATGGGGGACAATCGGATAAACTTAAGCACAAATCACAGACTATCTCACTAAATTCTGATAACCATACAGTCAATAGTTAATTTGCAAAATAACCAATTGTCTCAATCTTAATTGTTCCCTCTGCAAATATCAGTCCGTCTTCTCTGATCACATTTTTCATGCATTTTCATAACGATTGTGCTTCATTTCAGTACGTTCCCTGTCGATCTTCTGCCAAAATACATTTTATGCCTGACCATCACCACATACTACTTATACGGATATAAGTAGACCACACCACAATATCACCTTCCGATGTTTCATGAATACATCAATCATTCTTGACCAAATAAAAAAATGAAATCATCTTGATTTCTCTACGCTTGTAAGCGTAATTTAATAGACCTAGTTGACAATTATTTTTGTTGGAAATGACGCGTATTAGATTGTTTATCCCTTGAATAATTGATTGTCTAGTGGCACAAATTTAAACAAACAACAATGACTATATACATATATATACAGCAATGAGTAACCATTTTTAATTACTTTAAATGCTTCAGCATCAGTTTGATATTGTGCAGCATAACGTCGAAATTCTGTTAATTGATTTTGTTGTTGATCAATGATAGTACGAGCTTCAATTAATGCTGTTTTCATTTCATTATTTTGTACTCGTGTATTTTCTAATTCTTCATGTAATTTAAAAATATCATCTTCTGTCATCTATTCAATATAAGAAATAATGAAGAAGAAAATAAAACAGAATTATATAAAGTAACAAAAGATTTTTTCTTTTCTTTTTTTTCGAATGAATATGTACTTAACAAAGAAACAAACATTTATTTATGTGAAGATGGATAGTGACTAGCAGTTGAATCCAGAAATTGTACTGGGTAAGAGTCCCAAAGTGAACATCAACTCTGAGATGCAGGCACATTTAGCTGACGAGTCTCAAATAGAACGAAACGTGCGTCAAATTGGATTCCACTTCTAGTCACTATCCATCTTTGCTTATAGAGCTTTTCATTGTTTGTCTTAAACCTTCTTACTGTTCCGTTCACAAGAGTTCAATCTACACAAAAACAGATCAAGTAGTCAATTTAATGAAAAGTTATGAAATAGATTATAGTGATAATAATGTGATCAAATTTACTTTCTTCCATTTTTTCTTTTCCTTTTGTATTTATTAAAGACCACAATTGAGAGTTAATAAAACTAACGAAATCATGACTTAACAAGAATTAATAAAGTTGAAAATATCTATTCAGGTGACACACCTTAATTAGTTTAATATACATAGAGATATTTAAGTAAACAAATTAAAAACTGATATAGTAAATTCACTTCGTATTGCTTGTTTGAATCTTCTCATTGATTTTTAGGATTGTACTTGGTCACTCTCTTATTGGCATATGTACATACTGTGCGTATTGTCTCGATATAGCCTTAATTCACAAGCATGGTAAGCAAAGATGGATAGTGGCTAGCAGTGGAATTCAGGACGAGCGTTTCGTCCTATTCAGGTGAACATCAACTCTAAGATGCAGGTACATCCAGCTGACGAGTCCTGAATAAGACAAAACGCGCGTCCTGCATTCCACTGCTAGCCACTATCCATCTTTGACATAGTAAATATTTAATAAATCACTTGATGGTAAACATAATAGAAAACAGAGTGAATGTTTATTTATTTCAATGATTGGAATGTCTACTTCAATTTTTCTTCTTCTTTGTTTGTTTTATTATACGACTAACATAATCAGAAGATAAGCAGTTCAAGAATACAAAATACTGTTTCTATAATAAAACTTTGACTGATAGCCACCTGCTTGTGTGATGGGGTGAAGTTATATTCACTTGATGTTGTTAACTTGTATCTTCCCATTGTTATTTAGGACTGCAACTAATCAGTCTCTTATTGGCATATGTGCATCCTGTGCGGACTACCTCGAAATTGCCTTGAGTCAAGTCTCAAATGGGACGAAACGCGCGTCCTGGATTCCACTGCTAGCCACCATCCACCTCTGTCTAAAATCCTTGTGACTTGAGGCAATATAGAGGCAGTCCGCACAGGATGCACATATGCCAATAAGAGATTGAATAATTGCAGTCCTAAATAACAATGGGAAGATACAAGTAAACACCATCAAGTGAATCAGATAAATAGATATTTAAAATGTTTATTTGAAATTTCAGCTTTGTAGTTCAGTATATGACTCCGGTTGGAATGAACGTATGAATGTATTATGAACATGGATATTTCATTTAACTCCGTATATTACTTAGACTAACCCTGCTTGCATGAAGCCAAATAGGGGTTGTATTGAAGTTATTTATTTCAGACATTTGTTTATCCAGACAGATATTCAGAATAAGGAGCGAAAAAGAGGAGTGGAGAAGTCGGGTTAGCCAACTCGATCTAACCAAGTGTAGCTCAATATTTATAGCCAGACAAAAATAGACTACAGATATTTGATGGGTAGGACAAGTATTACATAAATGCGCTCCTATAAAAGAAGTCGAGGTTAAGCGACTTATTGACAGGGTGGAAACATGATTCAAGAAGAATGAATAAATAGGACTTTCTGGAGACTGGGATAATCCATATGGGTTTGACATAGCACTAGACACTGCAGCTTTTGAAAACAACATAGTTGTCAGTAATTAAACTAAGGAAGGTTTGATTGAAGTAGAACTTGAACCGATTGCCTAATCTTATATCAAATAACGACATTTATTACTGATTTGAAGTATTGTCTTTTAATTCAGACGTTAGTACACTTAATCATTAAATCTGACGCTTCCAGTCACAACTTTGTTAGTATACGTGTTTGCAATAAGCATTTCTCATTAAGTCCTAAAAGTGATATTTGAGTATACCATACTACAGAATAATTACTACTGTAATGAACTAGAATACCAGTGAGGATAACCGTATGTATTTGAATACAATATTACAGAATCTCATAGTAAAATCTGAGAATCATACAGTGAATGATTCATTCGTATAATGTTAATCAATTGTCTCAGACTTGATTATTCCTTCGTTTCCACATCAATCATTCTCTGTTCTCGTTCTCCTCTCTTCTTCTTCTTAACCTTCTGCCGTCAGGCATTAGACTTTAGATTGATGACACGTACTACTTATACCTGTCGACGTCAATAGCCGATAACACACTATTACGACAACAATATCAATTATTTGGGTTCGTTAGATTTTGATCTATGAATCAATTCTAGACAACAGATTCAAAAATGTTGGTCATTATCTACTTGATCATAAAAGTTATTTACAAAGGAAATAAAAGTAATCAATTTGTTCATTCTATAACATTTTATATCAAAATACCATACAATTCAGACTAGCTTGAATCGCTACTAAAAAATCGATTCCGATAAACAGACATTATCTGCATACAAATAAACAATGAAAATCTAGTCTCTCACTGATTAGGAAACAGTAGTAATGTGATCCAGTTCTTAGTACTGATCGATTTCATCTATCAAACTACCTTATGATATTTAGAGGCTATATAATTTGATTCAACGTCGTAAGGTACTTCGTGTGATATTGCCAAAAAGTCTTTAATCATGATTTCGTGCTTGTTGGAATTCATTAACCGAGCTTATTTGTTGATCTTGTGGGAACACACATTCCAGACAGTATTGGGAACTATATCACCCAGTCAGTGAAAGTCGAAATAGAACCCTTCGCATACAAGTGTTGATCCTAGTTCCTATTCTAAATTACCACAAAGAGATATAATTAAGAAGGCGAATACTGAAATAGTTAAAATAATACTAGTAGCAACAATAATTAAAATTATGAAACGATGAGAATATGATAAGAACAAAAAAAAATAAAAAATGTGTGTGAAGGAATATTAGAATTAGAGATCTAGATAAATATAGAGAGCAGATGCATTTAAGCCATTTTGAAAGATTCTGAGTTATTTCATCAAGCACTTTCAACCACTAATCATGGTTACCACGTGGACCAAAACGGATTATTCTGAATCTGCCCACGTGACTCAGACCTACAGTAAATGTCTTCATAGAATGAAGTCACATTTTCTTCCAACATGCTCCTACACTAGTAAACATGGCACATAGAGGTACCATACACCTAAGATCAAAATTACTCACTCAGTCGTTCCATGAACCGTAAACATTACGTCTAAGACATCTATTATCAAAAACCTACAGCTTATACACTTCCTAAGCTTTCATAGAACACGTTTCACAGACGTACAGTAATACGAATCGTACTACTGTGCACTAGACATGCTTTTCAGTTGATCACCAGTCATCATTCAAAGCTACTTCTGATTATGCCTGATTTATAGCATTCAATATCAGAGTTATAGACGTCATCACTTGGTTATTAGGTTTAGGCTTAAGATTTCTTATCGACTGTCTTCAGTCACCCATCCTTGCATCAATCATATTATTACTCACTTGGTAAACGTTCAATAAATTAGGAGAAAACCAACCAAAAAACTAAGATAATTAAGAATGTAAAAGCTAGACATTTTGAATTGTCTTACCATTAACCTACCCTTGAGTCAGTTTTATTAAATGAAGATTTTAGTAACTAGATTTATAAATTAAAATAATTATGACCTATATTATGAATAACTCAACTTATTAGATGATTAGGTCAATTTGCTGTGATTCATATGAAAACAATAGAAACATAATTAAATTAATTAATTATATAAGTATCTTTATGATTAACACCTAAATGTATGCGGGATTAGCTTGGTCAAATATGAAAAACAAATTAAACAGTTTTGTATTATCATAAATAAATGATATATTTATCATAACGCATTGATAATGATTCTAACATTTTATACTTGAAATAATGAGTCAATCAAAGCTAGGCCATCATAGAAAACCTGGAAGCACTGGACGGCCGTTTCGTCCTATTGTGGGGCTCCTCAGCAGTGCGCATCCACGATCCCGACCAGCGAGACTCGAACCTAGAACCTATCAGTCTCGCGCACGAGCGCTTAACCTCTAACCTAACGGTGTTGATGTCTAGCTTTAACTAATCCACGAAGTTCATCAACCTTTCACTAATGTCTTCAGTGAGTTGATTTCTCACAACAAACCCGGTTGAACTCCACTGGTTAATGCTTCTCACTAGAACTCCAGGAAATATCTATTGAAGTCAGTTAAGCTTAGAATGAAAAGGAACTATTGAAAATATGAATTATGATATTCATAACGTTAATCTTTGATCGTTATTTTCATAGAGGTTATTGAATGTTATATGTTGTGTATCATTTCAATGTTGTTAATTCATTTCAGTAAAGAAACAGGGATTTCAGCATACAACATTATCGCTTTTAAAAAAAATTAATTAAATATAGAAGATATATAGTCATTGCTGTATCTGACATGGCTCATTGGTTTTCACATAATTATAGGTACATCTTGCTGATAAGTGTTAAACAACGTTAAGCTAAAGTTTTATGATACCTGTCAGCTACTTGTAACCACAATATATTAAAACATAGTACAGGCAACGTTAGGTCACTTTAAAATTTGATTGATAGGATTCAGACTAGACAAACAAGACATTGACCGTTACTTCAAAGTGATTAATAATTGAAAATATGTAGAAGATTCTTAGTTGGAGATGATGAAGTGACAAACACCTTACATGTACTCATTTTCATATCGTTTGCTATAGCTCTATGAGTTTGTCTCATTTA